TACCCTCAAACACTGATCTGTCATGCTCAACTCAGAAGTAGGTCAGTTGGCCATTGCTCAGTAATACTGTTCAACAGGGGATAGATTTCAACAGCCCACAATGCCCCTTTCATTGGAAAGGATCATGCACACATTTGCACATAGATCTACAGTATGTGTACATGTATAATGCATGTACTAACCTATATGTACAGTGCCTTGACTCTGTACGACTGAATACTCTTTCAGATTAGGAAAAATACTGAAATAGATTACGCAAAATATAAAACAGTGTTACTGTAGATGTTACATGTATAAGGATTATATGTATAACATTACATTTGTACATGTGATCATTATTAAGTCACAGCAGTACATATAAGAACACAAACTAAGGCTAAATTGGCTGTTACTGATAGATTTGTTTGTCTTTTATGGTTGAAAGCTCTATATAAACATTAAATCTGTAGGTAAAAAGGACAAAGCTAAATCCCGTTGTACTACATTAAACTTTGCTGGCTTTCGTCCAGTTCATCTATTACTGTAAAGTTTTCTCACTGTCAGACCTGAACTTTGTGTGAGACTGGAATGTGTGTTTTTTTGCCAATGTTGATACCAGCGCTGGCAGGGTTAGAAGACAAAGCAAGCCCTCTGTCTGTAAATGTGGTCATGCTGGAATGTTGCCTGATACCCTATGACCTCATTCTTTCAAGAAGCTTAGAGCTCGCAATCATGGGGCATAGGAAAATAAATGTTTTGTTTCCTGTTTCCTGACTGACCCTAGATTTTTAGGCTAGAATTATAGAAAAACAACTGCCGAGTGCCGACCCTAGCCTTTTTGTGTGTGTGTTTGTGTGTATGAGTGTGTGTATGAGTGTGTGTGTGTGTGTGTGTGTGTGTGTGTGTGTGTGTGTGTCTGAGTGTGTGGTGTGTGTGTGTGACTGTATGAGTGTGTGTGTGTGTGTGAGTGTGTGGTGTGTGTGCGTGTGTGTGTGTGTGTGTGTGTGTGTGTGTGTGTGTGTGTGTGTGTGGACCCCTGCAAGGGACATAAGTTTTTGGAGCTGATCAACCTTTTTCTGAAACCAGAGTAATGAAACATTGTACAATCGGTTTTCCAGCATTGACATTGAAAATATAAGTGTCCTTGGGCAAATTTTACTTTCTAACACTGTATTTGTCCTAACTTAGTTTGTGAGATTAAACTAAGTTTGTCCTGGATAAATGAATATAGAACAAATACATTTTATAAGTTGGATCACTGGAGATTGCCAAAGTATTAAAAAAAAGATAGCTACCGACCATGGGTTTTTCTAGAAAAATTTAACATGAGGGAGCAGATCGCAAGGAAGTGAAGTGACCGAGGGCGAGGGGGGAATTTTTATGAGGGTAACACAGTTTGCAATGCTAGAATGCATTGTTGTGTTATTTTTACATATTTACTGGTAAAAGATCATTTTGAGAAAGACAAAATGGTGTGTATGTAGCCACTTCAATCTGAGAATTTATATGAGGGAGCTTGCTGCTTATATGAGGGAGCAGCGCCCTTATTCCCGTTTAGAAGAAAACCCTGCCGAGCATAATTTTTTCCGGACTGAAACAGGAAACACAATATTTTTTGTCCTCGGCCTCTTGCAGCATTCTACCAGTAAATGCTTTAACAACACCTACACTGCTGGAGTGAACTTGATGTTATGACCCAAACATACCATCTGGCAGATGCCATTGGCCTGGCAGTTTTGGGGCTTTGTTCTTGCTTATCTAGCCCAGTAAGCTCACATGTTCTCGAAACATGCACAGACAGGCTGTACGTAGATATCACCTCGAGTTCAACAGAGATCATCAGCAAACTTGGTGAGAAACCTGCGATACCCCTCCGCGCGTCAGTAAGACTAGGCCTTGTGGAACTCTCGGTTGGGTTAAGGCGGCCTAGGCTGATCTTCATATTCGAGTTCGGGCGTGTGTTTGCACGATGGCCACAGACATGTTTCGAACCCGAATCATGTTCCACCATGTTCGATATGACATCATTCGAATAGAACGTGTGTTTGAATTCGGGGTTACCGGCGGTCATTTGTATGTTTCCCTTGTAAACCCGCGTTGTTACGCATTTTATTCACGGAGTATGACCTAAATGGCTTTACACTCAGCTGAAAACAACATAATTGATCTTTAAAGCAATCCATGTTTACGTATTATCACTTTCTTATTAAATTTGTCTGAGGCTATTTTGCATAAAGTTGGATGTTTTCTTACTGGGGCGATTTTTCAAACCAAAAATGGCCAAAAATACTCTCATGTCCCTAATAAACATACCCCCCGGAATAAACATACCCCCCGGACAAATCCTCAAAGTCTAATAAACATACCCTCCGGAATAAACGTACCCCCCGGAAAATGACCAAATTGACAGGTGAACTGTGTGTCCATGATACTAGTACTAAAATGTGCTCTTCATTTCAATACCAATATATGGGCAAATCTTTCACTGTTACATTTAATTAGTGAGTATATATCACTTTAATTAATGAGTATATATATATTGTACTTGTTTTGGGGAAATACAAAATCCGTAGGAGATTCTATTGCATTTTACACTTCTGAAATGCACTTTGCTAAGCCTTCTCCTGCAACTTGAGTTGAAAATCTGACTAACTTAAGAGATAGAAAATCAAGCCCAATTAAGTACAAATATAGGGGTTTAATGAGCATATGTACAACAAAATCCATTTCAACATAATAATTATTTGGTATGGTACATTGTCTAGTCTGGTCAAAGTCTGGATTCTGAAGAAAAACTTCTGAAGAAAAAAACTTTTGAAGAAAAAAAATATTATTCAGCATAAAATTTTGATTGGTTTCCATCTCATTGTTTTTTTAAAAATCGATAATGTGATTGTATCAATTTTAAACGCCCTAAAATCATTGCGCAATATGGGTGCCCTATGACCTTTGACTTTTTACGGGTCATGCTGCTCAGGCTAGGCGCCCTCCCCACGTCGGCCGTCCGTCTTGTGGGCAAATTTCTACTTTTTTAGGGGTTTCGGGACCTAAAAACTAACACCAGAGGGAAAATAAACCACATACGTTTTTTTCATGGTAAATATCGCTAAAATGGACCAGGCATATTTCTGCCGCGTTGCCGATTTTGACAAGGACTTGCGGCCGCCATGTGCTAAATACGTCGATTAGCTACTCGCCTTCCCCTTCGGTTTTGTGGGCAAATTTTTGCTTTTTTGGACGTTTTGGGACTTAAAAATGGACAGCAGGCGAAAAATAAATAATATACATTATATTCCGCTATCATGGACCAAATATTTATCTGTGACGTGTTGCCGAATAAATTTTTGCGGCCGCCGGCCACTTGCTGATGGTGCGGTACGTATGGACAATTTTTTTCCCAAAAATTAATAAACGTACCGTCCCTAATAAGAGTGTACCGGGTGGACGTTCGGGCCGAAAAAAATAAACGTACCGGTATGTTTAATCGGGACATCAGAGTAGCTGTTTCTTGTGATTTTGACCCAAAACTGAGACAAAATACCCATTTTAAACAAAATAGCCTCGGACAGAAACAACCTGTATGGGGTTGGCTTTCATCTCGTAAAATATAACGATGGAAGGTGTTATTACCGCCTGCACGTAAATACATGAAATAAACGGCTATTTTTTAGCCAAAATATAACTCGAAATCTAGGTGTAGAAAAACTGAAGTACCCATTATCCAATGTGTTTCAAGTACAACTAAAACTGTGTGAAGTTTCGTCGGGGTGCGACCAAGCTAGCAAAAGTTACAGGCATATGTATAGAATACTACTTTCCCATAAGCGTAGGACGCCTTAATCCAACCGAGCTGTTGCACTGTAAATCAGTTATGTATGCAGTAGCAAAAGTTTGCGGTCTGAGAACAATAGACATGTTCGCGGAACAATACATTCATGGTGGCGGCAGGTGCAGCAAAAAGATAGTTGATGAAGGTGTTTACGGCAATGAAATGTTCGCAGTACAGAAGTGACCACGAAAAACCACGAATATAAAAGTACTGCAAAAAAATTGTGATCTACAATATCATCTTGAGTTCAACAGGGAGATCATCAGCAAAACTTGGTGAGAAGCCTGTGATATCCCCACCATGTATCATTCACACTAGACCTTGTGGAAATGTAGAATACAACACGGGGTATTCCGTATCGCCCGAGGTATCGGCCCGACTCACGGGAGGGCCGGGACCAAGGGCGATGTGGAATACACCGTGTTGTATTTTATTTATATCATACCCACCAAAAAAAAACACGCCTTTCAATGCAAGATGAGCCAAAAGTTGATGCCACTTGTCCCTAAAATGTAACAACATCAATTTTATGGAAGCCATGGAAGCATTCGATAACGGGTTCCGGACCGGGCCGTACCGTAAAGTACGGCCCGGTCCGGAATCCGTTATCGAACGTTATCGCGGCCCGGGTATGATATAAGGATGGGTATGCTTGAAGACTGCCTGAAAAGAAAAGTGCTGAATGTTTCTGTGTTGTTGGCAACAAAGCTTGAAATATTTAGGTCATCTCTTTTTGGTGATACTGATAGTCAATGACGTACTATTAGGATGTTGGCAATGGTGTAGTACCATAGTTATAGTACCAGCCCTTAGCATAACACAGGCATGTGGTGTAGCGGCAGCTGGCTATATTACACCAAACAACTTGTTACACCTAATCTTTGAACATCTAACTCTAAACATATCTTTCTAGTTATGATGCTACTAGTAACTGTACAGTACTTCAACACCTCAATTCTTTGTTGATAACTCTGGTATGGTACTTGAAGGCATAACTATTTCTAAGACTTGTTCTTTTCTGACCTGGCATTGTATACTTGAGTTGGTAAATCCACCAATTTATTAGCCTTTTTGTAAATTATGCATAGTCTGAACATTTTTTTTTGCCTGTCTTACACTAGTACTAGCATCCCTTTCATAGCTGTCAGCTTCTATCAAAGCATTTGTTACATTTCTTCTTTTTCTTTTGCAGGAAGACCACCACAATGCAGAGAAAGTCCAGAGAGACAGAAAGGCTGTTCTGGAGAGAGTGTGCAATGTTTCCCTGCCAGGATTCGTCCCTCCACTGTCCACATGGCAGCTTGGCCACATCATTGTGGATGACCAACATAAGATGTTGTACTGCTTCGTGCCCAAAGTGGCCTGCACAAACTGGAAAAGGGTCATGATCAAACTGCGACACCCAGAGATAGAAAAACCTCAAGACATATCCCCACGCGACGCACACGAGACATACGTCCTTCCCTCCTTGAAGCGATATTCGCCGGAAGCGGTACAATACAGACTAGACAACTACTTCAAATTCATGTTCGTGAGAGACCCGATGGAAAGATTGCTATCAGCATACATCAACAAGTTTACTATGCCGTATAACCTGAAGTTCCACCGATTGTACGGTACCAAGATTATCAGTCGTTTCCGTGAGAATCCGAGCAATTACTCTCTGCAGAGAGGGGACGATGTGATGTTTAAAGAGTTTGTAAAATACCTACTGGACCCAAAGGCACATGGGCCACAGCTCAACGAACACTGGGACCACTATGTCAACTTGTGTCACCCTTGCCGCATACACTATGATGTAATCGGCAAATACGAAACTCTAGACCAAGACGTCGACTACGTCTTACAAAAAGCGGGTGTCGCCGATATTGTCCAGTTTCCGCCAAAACCGAAAAAGGCGCAAACAAGCACATCTCAGTTACTGGACGAGTACCTAGAAGAAATTGGACACAAGGAAGTTTTAAGATTGCACAACATGTACATCTTGGACTATTTGATGTTCAACTATAGTCTTCCAAACTTTCCTGGTGAAAGATAATGAGGAGAGCCTGCAATGTCTTTAATCAATTGCAGATGCTGAACTAGAAGGCTGAACTTGAAGAACATGCCCGTAGCCAGGGGGGGTTCGGGGGGTTCGGAAGAACCCCCCCACAAGGCTCAAAGGTCCACTTTTTGGTCCACTTTTTATGTAAAGGTCCACTTTTTGGTCCACATTTTATGTGAAGGTCCACTTTTTGGTCCACATTTTATGTAAAGGTCCTAGATTTTTCTTAAAAAGATAGACTGGAATCGTAGAAAAACTGCTCCCTTTGTCATTGAATAAAAATTTATCTCTGAGTTTTTCTTGGAGATCCTCTCAAAAATGCACGAAATGCCATTTTAGAAAGTTCATTTTTCAAAATTTTCCGGGGGAGCATGCCCCCGGACCCCCCTAGGAACCTCGCGCCTTCGGCGCTCGCCTCGCGCCTATGCCGCTCGAGGTCCCCTCAAGCAGTGGAACGAACCCCCCCATTCAAAATCCTGGCTACGGGCATGAAGAAGATGTTAATATTGTTTTAAAACTTGATGGTCATTTGTACATGTGTTGGTAATAGAAAAATAGCTTAACGCTGAAAATAAATTCTCTTTTAAAGGGGCATCATGTAACATTTTTGCACCAATAATTGAAATATCTTACGTAAAAGACACACATTCGTGTGATTGTAATTTACTTCCTTTTTTCAACATATTTGTGCAATTATCTCACATTTCTGTCATTTATGGCACTAAAACAGCCCACACCAGGCGGACTCATATTGTGTTGCCAACACAAACTACCAGAATGTAAACAAACATGGCTGACCGCTGTGTTTCCAGCTTTTAAAAACACTCATATTTTGGCACCTCCACTTCCTGAATGACACTTATTTACAATGGGATTGTAGTGTTTGAACTTACTTTGTAAAGAAATGATCACAAAATGTACTTTCCCTATCATCCTAATGTTACATAATGCAGCTTTAAGATAGAAATTTGACTGTGCTAATGAAGGTATAGTCTGAGGATAGACAAAGGCGAGGTAATAGAATTGAAACTTTATTCTCCATTCTTTTATCAATCAATGATGAACGTAATGATTTTAACCCTCATCCTGCTACCTATCCCTTCCTCCAGCACAAATTTGTCTTCCTCAGGTGCAGGGAGAGGGTTAAAGTATACTTTTCAAGCAGGGGATTGATGGGAAGAACATAACCTTCGAACTTGACCTTCTTCTTCGCCATTTTTAACGGCCTACTCATCCCATGTCGCAGAGGTTGGTCCCATTCTTCCCATCAAACCTCTGCTTGGAGAGAAGATAAGGCCACAGCAAGTAAATTTTATGGATGACATCCTTTGCGGACTCCAAATCTAATGCGAGCGGGCAAAAAAAAAAACTAGGCGGGCCGAAAAAACAAGGTTCCTACATTCTCAAATTTTGACTCAATGATTGTACAAATGGTTTTCATTCAGTGAGAACATCACATATACACAGCTAGCATCACATATCACTGCATCAAAGTAAAAAACAAAACATTGAATCAGAGTCTTTTCTTGTCTCCTGTCTTCATAGTTACAGTATCTGCCAATCACGTTCCGTCATGGCAACAGACATCTTTGCCTATTTTCGGCATGTTGACCACTGTCAGAGGGCAACAAAATTTCTTGTTTTTTATTCCAAAATCAGGCGAAAATTAATGCGCGCGCTGATGTCATCCATAAAAATTACTTGCTGTGGCCTAATGTATAGTTTTAACCTTGTACATGTACACCTGTTGTAAATTTACTGCACTGCAGCCAACATGTAGGTAAAAGCTTCAGAAAGCATTTAATTACATTGTCCATGTTGTGCACTTGTACACTTAAAAGATAATGTAAGTAACTGTAATTCACTTTATGTTCACGGTTAGGTAGCAAAAGTTCACAGTCTGAGAAAAATTGAGGTGTTCACACCTTCACAGAACTCTGTGTAGATTCAGATTAAGAAAAAAGAAAGTCAGCAAATTGCTTGTTAACAGTTTCATTTCATTTATTTCATTTATTTCAAAACCTTTTAGCCCCGAAGGGCTAATCTTCCAAGGCTCAAACATTATAGCAATTACAACATAGTGGAAACATTTAAAAATACATACATACATACATGTACACCACATTAACAATAAATACACATAGATATAAACAATTTAAAAGTGGCGAGCAAGGGCCAAGGATCAGATGACACTACTACTGTTTGAAACGGCTTTCTTAAAACTGATAACATCGCACAGTGTCTTAACGTCAGATGGTAGATCGTTCCAGAGCACGACTGCACGATACAGGAATGAGCGTTTTCTGCTGTTGGACTTAGGTATTGGTAATCTAAAGTTATGTGCGGAAGATCTGGTATTATGACTGTGAGATGCATGAACAGGCAAAAGGGAGTTGTAAATATTTTGTGGTTCGTGACTCGTGAGGATCTTAAAGAACATGACCAAAGTGCTTTTCAAGAATCTCTCTCTCACAGTCGGCCAACCAAGATCTAGATGCATCTGCCTGGTAGGAGTATCAGGAGTACATTTCAGTAACAGTCTACATGCCCTATTCTGCACTACTTGCAGTTTGCGCATGTTGGAGTCTGACATGTTAGCTAAGACAGGTGCGCAGTACTGCACAACTGACAGAACCAGTGCACAAACAACAACCTTGCAAACTGCAAAAGGCATCGGCCACATATGCCTTCTCAATAGGGCAATGTTTCTTGATTGTCTTAACGCAATGTGAGTAACATGTGAGTTCCATGTGAGAGACCTATCCATGTGTAGACCCAACAAAACTGTCTCCCTCACTTCCTGTACCCTCTCAGTACCGGTTGCAAGATCTAGTGAATTATCAGGCAAACTAGCGAGCCTACGTGGGGTTCCGAAAAGCATGCATTTAGTTTTAAGAATATTCAACACTAACTTATTCATGCAAACCCAGTCTGATAAACGTACAAGGTCAGATTGCAAACCAGTATTGATGTCACTAACAGTCCTACCAGCTTTGTAAATAGATGTATCGTCAGCGTACATTTCAGGTGTGCTGTTTAACACCGACGAAGGTAGGTCATTCGTAAACAGTGTGAAGATGAGTGGGCCTAAACAGCTTCCCTGAGGGACACCACACTGAAGTAAGGAGGGTTCAGAGAAGTGACCGTTGATGTAAACAACTTGTGATCTGGCCTCAAGATAACTCCTCATCCAAGACATGGCATTGGATGAAAAGCCATATGATCTAAGCTTAGCTAACAGAATATCGTGGTCGACTAGGTCAAATGCGGCGCTGAAATCAACAAACACTGCACCCACCAACTCGCCTATCAACAGTAATGATAAGTTTGCAGTAAAAAAGTGACTGCAGCAACTGGCAACATAAAAAGTACCATGAAAAAATCAGGAATATATGAATACGGTATATGAATACATGTATATCACTCAATGAACTGTGTGCCAAAAATAGCATTACCCAGTTTGTCTCGTATACTAAATAAGTAACATACTACATGTATATGCACACTCATATTGTGAACCAAATACACTTGGTACATACTACATGTACTTGCATTCCCTATCTAGAAATATCTGAAAGGCATTCTGGCTATGTTTCCAAGAGTAATTCTGTACAGTGACTTTTATTATAAAGAATTAAAAAAAGAGTGCAGTTTGTCTTGATATTGTCTTTGCCATGTTTACATGCAAAATATTTGGCAATTGCATTTTTTTTTTTCATTTTGGACTTTTAGGCAATTTAATTTCTTAGTTAATGGATTCGCCCGCTTCATTTTTTCTGATATGCAAATAAAAATAAAAATTCAGAATCAACTGCAAAATGCTCATATTTTGCCCTGAACAGTTAAAAACA